TATTGGTCCTTCGGCGCCAACAGAGAGCCGCACCGGTGGAATACCATAACCCCAAAATCAAGTATCCCCAGCAAAACCGTGAGTAAAAATCAATTTTTTACTAACCCTGCGGTGAAACAAAGATTTTAAAAAGGCAGAAAATAATTCCTTGTATGTTTAGTAAACGCCAGCATTAAGTAATACATTTTCCCTTGCTCCGGCCATAAATTTTCAATTTTCCCGCCATATTTTCATTTTTCCCGCCAATTTTATTTTTTTTGCGCCAATTTTCACGAATTTTTTACCCACACAAAGACCTTTGCAAGAATACATATACATATGTACTTCACATAACATTCTGTAGCATACAAGCAAATAGTACTTGGCGTACATATATATATACACATATACCAAAGCTCATAGTATATACAGCGGCTAATCAGTTAATCCCAAACAAACATACAAGGAATTATAGCTGGGAATACATAACTAACCCCTCGTTTAGTAATCCCTATATATATATATATACACATACATTCATACACATACCCTATCACATATTAGGCATATGAGAGAAAGTGCTATATAAAAATAAATAAAAATACGTACAGTGAACTCTCTATAATAACTACCCATAAAAAAGGCAAGACGGTTACAGTGCTCGGAAAAAGAAATAACAGTCCATTAGATAGATATTTATAAATTTTGCACTCAAAATATCTCCATTTGTGGTTTTCGTGAACAGGACCAAGCGTGAAAGTCCCAGATACGGTGATCCGAAATCCCTCATAAAGGCTTAAAAAAGGTAAAATTATCTGGCTTATTAGATTCAAATCCCACACTATCTTGGAGTCCAGGTGCTCACTTGTGATGCATACAAACTTTATTGTTTGCGACCGCCTAGTAAAACCTAGTAAAACCCGATTGTATTTGCTCACCCTCTCAACCAACCTTAACCACTTTCGCTCAATTCGACTTCGAATGCTAGGTCTCACTAGCACTGAAGATAAGCCAAAAAGTCCCAGAATGAGCGAAGAAGAAAAAATTCTCGAGACCCCCGCGGAGTCTCAGCGCCCTACGCGATCAAGCGGAAAGCCAAAAAAGGCAAAACAATCGGTCATCTGTACTAAATTCATATCGGAGACAGATAATTTGATGGATTACTGCGCCCGATTCAGATCAGCCCCCATCGAAGAAAATACTGAGTGCGTATTGAAAATAAAAGACAAGAGCCTAGAAAACTTTTGGAATAGAGTTCAAAACGCCTTTGATTCGACTTTGGAAATTGAAGAACATGACCTCCCCGAAGACTTTAGGGCGTCTGCCTACAGTAAATATCGGTCATGTTTAATTATATATGAAGAAACAAAAGCCCAAATCGGAGACCAACTCCAGTTAGTAGCACAAACCATAAGTCCCACTCCCAAAGCCAGTTCATCACTTCCTCAGGAAACTTCGGGCATAAGCTTAAACGTCCCACCTTGCGACACCGAAACCTTTTATGGGGGTTATGAGCAATGGCCGTCCTTCCGTGATATGTTCACGGCGGTCTATATAAATCACCCTAAGCTCACTAAGGCGCAGAAGTTATACCATCTCAGGTACAAAAAGCAAGGAAAAGCTGCCCAAATAGTTAAACAATTCCCTCTGAGTGACGATAATTTCGAGCTGGCATGGGAAGCACTAAAAGCTCGCTATGAAAACAAACGGGTTTTAGTAGATAACCAAATCCGCATCCTTATGAATCTAAAACCCATCCCAATAGAAAATAGCGAAGACATACAGAGATTGCAATCATCGGTGAATAACTGTCTCCAGATTCTAGGCACCCAGCAAGTCTCCACCGAAAGCTGGGATCCCATTCTGATCTACCTGGTTACCTCCAAGCTTCCTGAGAACACCGTGGCCCTATGGGAGCAATCCCGCAGTTCCAGGAAAGACCTTCCGAACTGGGCCCAAATGAACCAGTTCCTCACTACTCGATACGGGGTGGTTGAAAGGGTAGATCAATTTCGTGCACCCAAGCCTCCGCGGACTAATCCTTCGAACATAAGCTACTTGAGGTCAACCCCCCCTAACAGTAGGCCATTCCCTAAACCCCCCACCTCTCAGAACTCTCACAGCAACTCCTTTTCTCAAATCCGAGCGCACATGACGGAACAACGCACAAAACCATACAAATGCCCAATGTGCAATAAACCTCAGCACACTCTCTCTCAGTGCTCCAAATTTCGTCAACTGCCAACTCAGGATCGCAGAAAGTTTGTGAGAGAACACAATCTCTGTTTTAATTGCCTATGTCAGACCCACTTGATAAAAGACTGCTCAAGTAAATATACTTGCTCCCATTGTCAAGAACGGCATCACTCAATGCTTCATGAAGACACGCCCCCCATGCCACCAAGACAGCAATCTCGTACTCAAAGAACGACATCTCAGGTCGCTTTGACGACGCCCGCTAATTCCAACCCACAAAGTCCAGCTGGGTCGGCAACAAATCATGAGGAGCCTTCATGCTCAAACAGAGCAAGAGTACAGTCGTTCTACTCGGAAAATGAGAGCAAGATTCTCCTCCCCACAGCAATAGTTCCAGTTGAGCACAAGGGCGAGATCTTCAAACTCAGAGCTCTCATAGATCAGGGTTCGGAACGAACCTTTATTTCCTCCAAAGCCCAAAATAAACTAAGGCTACCATACGAAGCTTCTAACTTTGAAATTTCTGGCATGGGAGGAAGAGTTGTTCAGACTTCGAACAAACTATGCAATCTCATCTTAGCCTCCGCAGATTTGACCACGAAAATAAAGGCTCAAGCAATAGTCCTGCCCCAGTTGACGAAAATGCTTCCCAAATTCCAGCCAACTCTCGAACAACGAGAAAAATGGTCTCACCTCCAGCTAGCAGATACTAACTGCCACTCCCCTTCCCAAATTGATCTGGTCATTGGCAGTGACCTCATTCCTGAAATAATGCTGGAAGGCATTGAGAAAATTTCCAAAAATTTGCTTGCACAAAACACCATATTCGGCTGGATCTTAAGTGGTCAGTTTCCCGAAAAAATAGCCCGTTTCTCTACTCAAGCTGCACCGATCTCCAATGAGGTTTTAGATTCCCAGCTGCTAAAGTTTTGGGAGCTAGAAGAGGTTCCGAAACCCAAGCTCACTTCGCCTGATGATGAAAACTGTGAAAAATTCTATCAGTCCACCACCACACGAGCAGCGGATGGTCGTTATGTAGTCAGACTGCCCTTTAAGCCAAGCTTCCCAGACCCTATCTCCCTTGGCCCGTCTCGCACCCCCGCCCTCCAACAGTGCCTGAGCATGGAAAGAAATTTGCTCAGAAAAGGCGATCTAAAATCACTTTACGAAAATGTATTAAACGAATATCTCACCCTCAACCATATGGAAGAAACAACTTCCCACGAGATATCTTCTCAAGGCAAATATTGGTCGTTCTACCTAGCACACCACGCGGTTATAAAACCCGAAAAAAGAACGACCAAAGTCCGAGTCGTCTTCAATGCTTCGAAGAAATCGGGGTCCGGACATTCCCTGAACGATGTTCTTTACACCGGACCAACCCTCCAGCACGACTTGATGTTATTGATCCTCAAGTGGCGTATGTATCGATTTGTCTTTAACGGCGATGTCGAAAAAATTTATCGACAGATACTGCTGCACAAAGACGACCAAGACTATCAACGAATCGTATTTCGACCATCTACAAATAGCCAAATACAAGATTATAAGTTGAAAACTGTCACGTTTGGTTTGAATTGCGCACCCTACCTCGCTATACGTACCCTTCACCAGCTCGCAGATGACGTGCAAACCACGCACCCCTTAGCGGTGCCCATATTAAACAATGAAACGTACGTTGATGATATACTTTCCGGTGGTCATGATCTCCCTTCAGCCAAAGAATCCCTCTCTCAAGTCATCCAAGCGCTCAATTTGGCAGGCTTCCCACTTAAAAAGATTACAGCCAACCACCCTGAAATTGTGAAAAACATCAACAAAGACGATCTGCTTGACACAAACTTCCTAGAATTTGAAACAGCAAGCACCACTAAAACGCTCGGGATTCAGTGGAACGCTCTAACCGATACGTTTTCGTACACCGTTGATTCCATCCCAGCGTCATCCGCCAGTACAAAACGACAAATCCTCTCGGCAGTTGCCAAATTGTTTGACCCCGCAGGATGGCTTACGCCCATAATGATTCAAGCCAAAATCCTGCTACAAGAACTATGGCTGGACGGAACTGACTGGGATGACCAGGTCAAGCCCCTCCGTCTGACGAAATGGATGCAATTTGCAACCAATCTCCAAGCCATTTCTAGCATCCAAATATCCCGATGGGTGGATTTTGTCCCCGCCGACCAAGTCGAGCTACATGGCTTCTGCGACGCTTCCGAGAAAGCATACTGCGCTAACATATATGTGCGAACCACGAACGGTAGCAGGACCTCTTCTCATCTGCTGGTCTCAAAAGGCAAAGTAGCGCCTCTCCGAACCACCAGTTTACCCCGACTTGAATTGTGCGGCGCCCTTCTCCTAGCGAAGCTGGTCGCCGTAGTGCTGTCTCAACTCGACCTATCTAAGAGGAAACTGATACTATGGTCT